AGCGAAAGAAGTGAAACGTGCTTTTTATTAGATAAAGCGTCACATATGAAGTGGTCAAGGTGTAAAAGAGCGTCGATAGTGCTTGGTCCTTTTTTGAATGCAACCTGATTTGAATGAATGAGTTTATTGAAATGGAGAAACCAAGAGAGTCTAGTAGCAACAATTTCTTCTAAAAGTTTTCCTAGACAGGGTAGAATGGAAATAGGATGATAGCTGGTAACTTCGCATGGAGGTTTGCCCGGTTTTAGAATAGGAATGATTGCACTGGTTTTCCAGATTTGGGGTATGGTGGCAGTTCGATAAATATTGTTGTAATGGTTGATACGTCGCTTGAGGAGATGAGATGGAAGATGTTTGATGATGGGATAGGAGACTTTATCTAACCCAGGCGTTTTACCTTTAACCGCAGAAAGAGCTATATTGAGTTCTRTTAAAGATATATCTGAGTCGAGATATTCGGCTGAAGGGGATAAAGCGGATGAAACGTAATTATAGGCAAGTAAAGAGTGCTTATTAGACGAGTATTCAGAGGAGAAATTATAATCAGAAGAGTTTGACTAGAAAAATTTGGCAAATTCTAAAGCTATGTCCTGTGGATATAGTAGATTGCCTTGAGAGGAGTTGAGTGAAAGAATAGGAGAGAAAGAAATATTGCCAGATAGTCTTCTTATATTTGACCAAATTATTTTAGGGTCAGAAGAGGAATTAATGCTGCTGGTAAATGTCTGGAAAGATTTAACTTTTGCTTGCTTAGATTTTCTTCTGAAAATGGCATTAGCTTTTTTATAAGCAACAAGGTTTGATGACGAACGGTTTTGTTTGAAATGATGCCATGTTTGTTGCTTTTGCAGTCTAAGAGAAGATAGCTCACTATCCCACCAAGGAGGGTTATGATTACGAGGTTTAGGAGAGGTTTGTGATATAGATTGATTGCCAGCAGATCTTATAATCTTCTGAATCCTAGAAGTTTCCTGAGATATTGGGAGAATATTATGCGGTATACTTCTCTTAATCAGGATTGCAACACCTTGTTTGCTTGATGTAACGGAAGGAAGGTTATAAAAGTGACCAGCATAGGCTTTTGGAGTATGAGCTGATATATTGTTTGCAATATGTGTTTCGTTTAATAATATTACAGAGGGGTTNTGGTTCCTACCAATTGGCAATAGCAAAGGACCACCATATCAACATTGGCAGGAGTACATTTGGCAAAATACTGCACAAAATTATTCGAAAATTGGAGATTTTAATATGCAATGATACCATCACATTGAAAATGACACCGCAGGATATGGAAAAGTCAAAGGAATATTTTAACAACAAGTTCCAGCTTCCTAATATTATCGCATGCGTAGATGGCACACATATCCGCATAAAGAAGCCCGTAAATAATGACTCTGTATATTTCAATAGAAAGGGATACTTTAGCCTTAATGCCATGGTGGTATGTTCTAAAATCAATATATTTGATTAAAGAATTTACTATGTATTGTGGTCCCAAGGTCTGCAATTACAACATGGAGATAATTGCTGTTGATTGTACACATCCTGGGTCCTGTCATGACTCTTTTATTTGGAAACAGTCAGGCTCGGTTATATTTCTCCAGGGCGCTAAATTGACACTTTGTTTTGGCGGACTCGGGATATGCTTTAGAAAATTTCGTTTTAACTCCATTTAGGAGCGCTGAAAATGGATCTCCGCAACATATTTTTAACAAAAAACATGCCGCTGCTAGAAATATTGTAGAGCGCGCTATTGGCCTACTTAAAAGCAGATTTAAATGCATGCAACGGTCTTTAAATTATGAGCCCGGATTTGCATGTAGTATTATAAACGTATGTTGTGCTTTGCACAACATTTRCCGCAAGAATACTGGACCATTACAAGATGATTACTGTAGCTACGACGAAAACTTTGACTATGAAGACCCAGCAACTGAGTTCGAAGATCAACAAGATGGCACTTCAATAAGAAATGAAATAGCGCAATACTTGTCACAGTAACTGGCCTAATTCACTACTTTTTAATTAAGTCTTTTCTCTTTACCAATTAACTTTAAATTATAACAAAGTATACTCAAGATTTAAACAATTTTGTTTTCTATGTATTTATTTGGAGTTTTCAGTTTTATTAATTATTATTAATGTTTTATTGGAATATTGATTTGTATACTACAGCGAGATGCAAAAATAAATATCCAATGTTCCCATCGTTGTTTGTGCCACATTTTTTACAATAGATATGGTTATATTTATATATGACATAAACCATGTTAAGTTAAAGTTTAGAACCTCAAACGTTATTATTTATCAGCCTTTTTAGAACTTCTAACTTTTCTGCCTCAATTTTTTGAATTATGCGGTGGTGCTCAAGCTGTTGGCGGTTATGCTCCTCTTGATGTGTTATAACTTTCTGTAGACTGGTTGCAATGGTTTTCATGGTGTCCAGTTGCGCAGCACACACTTCGTCCAAAGACTGCACATTTGATGTTTGGGGCCCTAACTTTCGACGTTTTGGGGTAGGCTCAGCTACCTCCTCAACAATTGGTGTTTCGGTTTGTATTGGCTCTTCAGTGCGTTGTGATACATTTTCTGCTTCTGTGTCCTCTTCCGGTACTCCAAAAGTAAGGGCACCTTAAAACCCATTCACCATTTCGAACAGACCACATATTTTTGCAACTTCCTCCTCAATTGGTAAAATAACGGTCTGATCATATGGACCTCCCCCGGTGGCTTTGCCTTCCTTCTTATTGTGCCCCAGTTTTTTGCGAATATGCATTTTCCAATYGGGCCATACCTTTTAAGAAAACCCGAATTACTTTTGTTTAACATTTATATTTGCTGTTAACCTGAAATGCCTTACTTTTTTCCAACCGGCAATGACCTTAATAGGTGGACCAGCATCCTAAATCCTGGTTCAATTTCATGAATTCCACGAAAACGTTATCTTGCATTTGAGTTTTATGTTTGCCCCTGCAATGAAGATTATTTAATACTCATAAAATTGACATCAATTAACAAATTTAATAATTACTTACATGTTGCTGGTTTCGTTTTCCTCAAATAATTCGGATGACATGAAACAGCTGACGAGCTTAAGCATTGTTGCCACAGCTGTGATTTTAAATTCGCGTTGTTTTTTATTTAAGAATGCTTTGATATTGTATGAAAACTATTCATTGTTCTTTAAGTAAGTTAACTCAATAATTTTTGTTTTGGATATAATATGTTGGACATGCCAAGGATTGCAGAAGTCAAATCGTATGGTTTTTTTTTTTCATATTAATATCAAGGCAAAGAGGTTATCCTCTAAGCAAATATCATAAAGCAAACAATATTCAGTGCATAAAATACTACAGAAAATCCATTTTATTCTTGTAAAATGCTCCCACATTTGTTACAAATACGATGAAAAATATTCCGGTTTGTAAGAAACATCGACGGACTAACAAGGTTATTAGCTAATGTTAATTATTTAAAATTTCAAAGAAACCGGCAATACTAATAAAAGAAATAACATTAGTATTACTTAAATAAATTAAAGAATACACCTTTACATAAAGTTTTATAAAATTTATAACGAACACGAAATGAATCGYTGGGAATTTGTTCCGCAAAGCAAGTCAACCCTGCCTCACAATCGGTTATCGTTGTAGCAATTCACTAACAGCTGTTGTTGAATATTTCCTTTCGGATTGAGCGATGCATGATTTTTTTGAATATATCAGCAAATAATGTAAAAAATTCGTATATACCAATAAATAAGTAATTTAAAAAGGTCATGAGTAGCACCTACAAATATCAAAGRATATATAAAAAAATTTTCTTATARAAAATAATTTCTCATTTTAACACATTTTGCCATTTACTTTTCAATTTCACTGCCAACAAAGAACTCGGATTCGATTCACAAAAAATAATGTGAATGTGAAAGTGGGAGCATCAAATATGTGATTTCAAACCGAATTCACAAGGAAATTTGTGAATGTGAAATTGGGAGCACGGCTGATAAAGCTGTAATTACATTAGTACAGAGAATTGCAGTACCAAGAGTCATATGTGAGAAAAACATGTTTGATAAAGGAGGCASTGCCCTCTAACAAGTTTAATGAACATATTTCATAAACATTTAAGCTCCAGAAACCAAATTTGCTGAGTACAAATCTCATACGAAGTTTTACCGACAGTGTGAAAATGGATGAAAGAGGAGGATAACCCAGCTCACTCCCCATATAACGATACTGTTAAAAACTACTAAAGGCGCTATAAATCAGTAGTTAAATACGCCAGAGACATTAAATTTTAACACCGAGCTGGTATGAAAGCTTTATGGGAGCCGGTGTGAAAAGTTGCAGTTGACTGATGATCGAAATTGTCGGTCAGTGTGTGATGTTTTATGTATTACTAGAATTAGAAGATAACTCTTATCTTTTAATTGTATGTCTGTAAGTCAAAAATGCGTTRAAGCGGGCCAATACTGCCCTTAGCCCCCATATATCCAATATAAAAATTTTCGAATTTCCAGTTGGCTTTGTATCGCATATATCGGCCAATATGTGAATTATTCTAATGAAAATAAGAAAGCGTATTTTACTCACAAATGTGTATCTTTGTGCTTAAAATAGATGAATTTGAGCGAAAACTTGGCCCAGCCGCTATATAACTAACATCCGGCCGATTTTACTCTTTATGATTGGTTTTACTCCTTAAAGTATTTCCCTTTTTTACTTGTTTTATTTTATTAACTCCGTACTCGTTGTCATATCGGGAAAAAGAAGATAATGGGTCCCTTTAGGAGTGGTGACCTCATGTGTGCTGTGATCGTGATAATGCTTTATTGCTCGTGATGTGAAATGTAAGTAAGACGTGGCGAATGTGAAATGTAATTAAAATGTAAATCTTACAGGCTCGTGGTCACTCGTGAGTCAGATTACCCAAGCAATGCCAATGTGCTTGGGTAATTTGCTGTCACCCATAAAAATGCTTCAATGTTGCGAACGGTATGGGCGATGCCATAAGGTGTCTCTTCTGCGACCTACTTCCGTGGGACGAGGTGATTGGTGGTGGCCCGTGGCACAAATAGATGCGCGTGCTAGTGCAGTTCAGAGCGTTGGGGTAGGCCGTTTGGTGGCCCGTTGCTAGCCGACTGAACGGTTGGTGTCAGTGTCATCGGCGTTGTTTTGATTRTACATACATAAATGGGTCATCATATTAWTAAATGGCGAATTAAGAGGAGAGAAAAGGGGGAAATAATTAATAAATCCAATCAGATCCGCAACTAAAAGTGCGACATTTGAGCCACTTGAAATAGATGTTTCATTCAACTAGATCTGTGGTCTGTTCAATTGATACATTCTCCGCGGCTTATCCTCCAAGTAACAAGTAAGCTTAGTTCGGATGCGACCGAACATTTTATACTATATATACAGATATTAGTTATGTAGGGTCTAGGCCAAGTCAACCGGATTTCAACTTTTCTCGTCATCATGATCATTTATATATAATGATATATAAACCAGGGTTTGCCTTCTGCCTCGATGCAGCGCTGCCAGCGCGATTTCCAAGCATCGAAGGCGTCACGAAAAGCATTCTCCGAAATAGCCTTCAGAGCAGGGGTGCATGCTGCTTGGATCCCCTCTCTTAAAAAATAATTTTTCGCACGCGAGTCACATTGTCGGTGTTTGTCAAAGTCGCAGGTCTCGCTTCGTGGCCTCCATCGCAAAAAAGGCCTGGTATATATATAATTGGTTTTTGTTTTTGCCTTTACTTTTGCTTACTTATTTAAGGCAATCCTGCTTATTGCTTGATCAAGCATACCTGGTACCACCGAAACAAACGCCTTTGTCGCGTTAGCAAACGATGCATTTTCGGCTTGCACTACTCACAGAAACACAAAGCGCGAAAATCTTTGTCCTGATTCTCCAGGTGCTCTTAGTCTTATTACTTTCCGAACAAATCCTGAATAGACACAACAACATACATATGTACGATAAGAGACGCGCATCCTTCATTTGCTCTRGTTTATATACAATTACTTGTAGACTGGTGGTGGCTGTAATTCTCTGATTGGTCAATGCTCGCTGTAAAAGATAAGCATGTTATGTTAAATTATCTGAAGGTTGAGTATGACGTGTGCATAAGTCTGAAGGTTAAGTGGTTTGTTTATTGAARATAAATTGTTATCTTAATAAGATATGTGTATTAACTCTCCCGGCTGCTATAAAAAGGATCTCCTGATCTTAGAGCATAAGTTCATTGAAATTGTCTTTGATATGTAATATTTCTGTGGACAGCGTATAATTTGATAACAGCAAATACAATACAGACAGTGAGTAATATAATTAATATTAATAATATATTATTCCTGATAGGATGTTCCTCAAATGAAATTGCTAACTTGTGCAATTTGTGTATATTAGTAAATTGTTATGAAGGTTGTTATTCTAATATTTCAAAGATACAAACTCTTTCGTATCCTTTTGTTTTTACTTTGCTTTTTATACTCTTGCAACCAGTTACTACATAGTATTATAGTTTTGTTCACTAAACGAGATAGATATACATATATGTATATACTTATATAAATGATCAGGATGGCGAGTAAAGTTGAAATCCGGTTGACTGTCTGTCCGTTCGTCGATCCGTTCGTGCAAGCTGTAACTTAAGTTAAAATTGAGATATCTCGATGAAACTTTGACATAACGAAGCGCTAACTAAGATATAAAACTGTACTTTGGTACAGATGATGCGAAAGGGGACCTGTGTGACAATTTTTTAAAAAGGGCCCCGCCCTCTATCAAGTTTAATGCACATATCCCTTAAGCCATTTAACCTACGAATCTTATGAGAACTTTTACCGACAGTGTAAAAATGGTTTAAATCGGAGTATAACCCGCTGACTCCCAATACAATGACACTGTTAAACACTACTAAAAGCGCGATAAAGCATTAACTAAATACGATAAAGACAATTCAATTCTACCAACGAAATGGTATGAGAGAGTCTTACGGGAGCCACTGTGGAAATTGGACGTCGAGCGTGTTTTATTTATAAGTGTATCTTTGTGCTTAAAATAGATAAATTTGAGCGACAACTTGACCTAGTGCCTATATTACCCTCATATTGGTTTTCAAACATCCGGCTGACTTTGTTCTATATGATTGGTTTTACAATTTTAAGTATTTCCTTGTATATGTTTCCATTTTCCCCTCTCAAATAGATGGTCAAAGCTTTACATATGGTGCGCAATTTTTAATAAATTAGAATTAATATGTATTAATATCTTTTTTTTTCTTTGGGTCCACTCTAATACTTCCATTTCTTATTTTGTGGCCTAAGAATAAGAAGAGTGATTTTTCGTCCAAGTTTTTTATATTGGCGTTGTGTAGCGTTTGGCAATCCGGGGTGATGTGGAATCCAAGACAGAATTGCTTGGCTGTTAGAATTGCAAACCAATTCTGATTTTCAATGGTGTCACAGAATCTGATTGGATGTTTGTCTTTTCGAACATACGAAAAACCAATATTCGAATCAGCTGTTTACTAATGTGGCAAAACGTGCAAATGAATGCAATACTATTAAAGTTTTTAAAGAGTTCCGAATTAAAGAAAGATTTTAAGAGATCACATTTATCGAATGAACAAAGACGCATTTGGGTGTTAAATAACGTTTGTTACGCTTTGTAAATATTCTTTAAGGGAGAGCCTGCTTTAGAAGTTTCAAAAAATTTATTTTTTTTTTTTTTGCCGATTCCGATCTATAACTTTGGGGAAATATTACTAGGTAATTTTTGAAGAGGTAAATAATTTTTACCTCTTTAAAAATATTTCCAAAGTTAAAGAGGTAAAAATTATCTAGGAATATTTCCCCAAAGTTATAGATCAGAATTCGAAATATTGTCGAAGCTAGAAGGGAATAATGACCGAGTGTCTAGCAGAAACATATGTATGTATATGAGAGCTTGGACATAAAGGGGGCAGGATAGAAAAAAAAACCTCATATGGAATTAGGGCAAAGATTATTATGTTAAGCATTAAATTATCTCATTTTTAAACTACAAAAACTAAAAAAGTTAAGTTTGAACATATATTTAAAGAAAATGTTTTTTAGTCCAAAATCACTTTTTTTGTTTTCAAAATTTTTAGAATTTTACACTTTCATTTTTCTTCCCAAAGGCAAAATGTAAAATATTTCGTATCAAAGAAATTTGCTGATGATGTTTAAATATATAACTATAAACCCTGGAAATTTCCCTTTAATCAATTATTTATTTCCCTTCCAACAAGAAAACTGAAAAAAAAATCGATTTTTTTAAGCCTCTAAAGCACTCCCCCATTAAATATCCGCATTTTTTTTACCAAAACTCAATAAGTAAAACATTTCGCTTTTTTTTTTTGTGTTTTCTCTAATACAAATAACAATAAATAAATTCGTAACAATAAAATAACTTGATTTCTTAACTTACATTTCAAATATATGTGCGACTATCTATCCCGATAAAATTGGTTTCCGTGACACCCAAAACCGATAAAAATTCTGTTTCGAATATCAAACCAATAATATCTGACACCTACTGCTTTTTTTGATCGGTTTTAATTCTGATTCCGACAACTATCAGATTCCACACACCCCTGATTGTCTTTCATATGTTGTTAAAGTGTAGAATTTAAATATAAGGACATCATCTTTATATATTTCCGTGTGCACATTTTCCAATGGAAGGTCTAAGTATACATCTACACATCTCGGGAAAATTGAGGGAGCATTCTTAAGACCAAATGGTAAACGACGCCATTCGTATTTCGCACTATTAATTGAAAATGCTGTTTTTCCCTATCTTATTTCCTAATCCTGACCTAATGAAATCTGGATTTCATCTTTCTCAAGAAAATCAAAATCTTTCATTTTGTCAATCTCCAAGGCTTTTAATTTAAATCCTTTTGTCGCTGGTGCCTTACGTTGGGCGCCAGTTAAATATTCTATATATTTTGAGAATAAAAAACTATTTTTATTTAGTTTACTTAGAAGTGAACTTTCTTTTTTTACTATGTTCCTTTTTTGATACAATGTTTACAAACATAAATATTAGTTAAGTACAGTATAGTCCGCATATAAGAAACTTTGAAAATGCCACTAATATTTTTCTTATATCCCGTTGTTCTTTTAGCCGGAGTCCGTATATAAGAAATAGTTTCTTATATGCGGATATCTTACAAATTTCATGCACAAACTTCTTATAACCGTACATCGCGTTATGTTGCACGAAAACAAATCTTTTATTTGATTTCATTTATTCCATTCAATATTTTAATAAAAAAAAAACAATAAACATTAACGAAAATTAACAAAACTTTAAATTCATAGAAAATGCATATTATATGTATAGGATCTTAAAAAGTCGGCACTTTGCGACATTTACTTTTTATAATAACTATTGCATGTTTTGTTTATGTACCTATAAATTTATAATTTTTTTTGACGTTGAAAAGATATCATTTATTTTTATTTTTTTGTCACGTTCATTAAAGAGAATTTTCTCAATATTTACTAAGTTATCATCATCACTTAAATATTGCTTCAATACAAACAAGGCTTCTCTGCTAGGTGGCACTGCATTATCTGCAGAGTCTTCTATAACATCTCCACTCTCATCTTCTAGTATTTCGTCTATTATATCATTTATTTATTATATTTTCGCTTATAACCCCAAAACAGTTCTCCTTTTCCAAATCAGCTAAATTTTCGAAAAAGGAGTTATTGGCTTGAATCTCGCAAAAATCATCATTTGAGGCACGGCTTTCGATTTCACAATAAATATTGTCTGAGGTATTATAATGATTTGAGTCCATTACACCTTTTGCTGCTTGTATCTGTACGCGATAAAAAAGATAATAAAATTCAATGTCAAATTGCAAAAGACGTTAATAAAAGCATCGCTCGATAATTTTCACGGAGCAGTAAAGCAGAATAATTGTACGAAAGGCACAGAAAATCACCAGAAGGAAGAAATAGAAACTGGCAAGACTTCTAATCCCCAAACCATTCGTCGTGATTTCCATAATCGGAACATCCGTAAAAAGCCATTTGTAAATAATACTAACAGAACGAAAAGACTTGAATTTGTAAAACTGCACGAGACCTAGACCGTTATATTCTCCGACGAGAGTATATTCAATGTTTTTGGGTCCGAAGGACGTGAAAAGTATGGAGAAAAGCAAATTCAGAGCTCGATATTCAAAACATTACCGGCAGAGTTAAATATGGTGGTGGCTCAATAATGGTGTAGGGCTGTATGGCGGCTTCTGGTATAGGAAAGCTGTTTCTGATTGAAAGGATAATGGATAAATCTGTTTATCTCAWCATTTTAAAGGATAATTTAAAGCAAAGAGTATTAAAATTGAGCGATCATTTATCTTCCAACATTACAATGACAATAAGCATGCAGCTCTAGTTGTCAAGGAATAGCTGCTGTATAACACACCAAGGCAACCGGCAGATTTTAATGTTATTGAACACTTGTGGGAACATCTCGATAGACAAATAAGGAAACATGAAATAAAAGGCAAAGATGACTTAAAGAAAGCACTTATGGAGTAATGGTGATAGATTCCAATTTCTCTATGCCATCGCGGTTAACCCTTATGTTAGTAACCAACTTTATCGACGTCTTTTTGCAACCGGTTACCGGGGTACCCACGATCTGAGTATTAAAAAAATATTTTATTTTACTAAGAAAAAAGTTTTCTAAAAAATTGTTTTCTTTAAATATTAATAGTCGGTGACAATTTAAAGAAAAAAAAYAACAACGTAGAATCGTGAATGGCATCTGAAATCTATTTGTTCGGAGCCGAGCAGACGCCGTTCGTGAGAGAAAACTCAAGGTAATTCACGAGCCAGAAGATTCTAAAGAGACACAAGAAAAGACTGAAGAGAATTCAGCAGTGGAAGAAGAAGTTGAGAGTAGCGAGAGTGAGGATGACGACAATAGAGTAGAAACAGCTAAGCCTGAAGGTAGTAAAATATTTGTTCTTACCAATGATTGAAATAATAATTATTTTTCCTAAATAAATGTTTTCCTAAATAAATGTTGTTATTATTATTTTAGGAAGAACTCAAGAACCATCTGGGAGTTTTATTCCCAAAGATAAAACAGTGTGGAACCAAACTCCACCAACTCAACATCAGACCGCAGCTCATAATGTTGTACGCCAGCGGAGTTGACCTCATCGCAGTACGGAAATGTTGTCGTGTAATCGTTCGTCACACAAAAAAAAAGCTGAAACAATTTTCCAAGAGTTCAATGCTCACCATCCAAACTCACAGCATCAATGGAAGCCCGTTACGATACCCGAAATTTATTCGTTCTTCGGTATCTTGATTTGGGCTGCAGCAAACAATTCGAACACAGATCATACATTTGACATGTGGCACTCAAATTCTTATTCGCTGTATCACGCGATGATGGGATTGACGAGATTCCATAATATTTTGCGTTTTTTTGCGATTCGACGATAATACTCGAAGCGAACGTAAAAAAGAAGACAAGACAGCTCCAATTCGTGATGTGTGGACAATGTTAAATCTAAATTTAGCTCAGATGTACAACCCAACAGCTAACTTAACGATTGATGAACAGCTTTATTCATACCATGGTTGTACTGGATTTACTCAATATATTCCATCGAAACCAGCTAAGTATGGTATAAAGATCTGGTGGATTTGTGATGCAGAAAATGCATATCCTTTGCAAGGGATCATGTGCACTGGTAAAACAATTAATACTCGAGGAAAAAAATCAGAGTGAAAGAGTAGCTAAAGAATTGGCGGCTCCGTGCCGAGGYAGTGGTAGAAACATCTGCATGGATAACTTTTTTACTACTGTACCAGTTGCTAAACATTTGTTGTCGTGGAATATTACCATTGTTGTGACAAAGAATGCCGTTGAAAGTGTATTCGGCCATACACTGACAGAAACAGTCGTGATAAATCCTGGTCCAGAGACTGCAAAAGATAAAACCGGTAGGAACAAAGTACCAGGATCTTGTCATTCCCGCAATGCTTTACCAATAAGAAGACGGCGAAAGACACGGAAGGCCTGTGCCAATTCTCACCAACCTTTTTGTGACGAGACCTCAGTTAATCGTGTACAATGTGTTCAATGTCATTAATTATAAAAAAAAAGTGTAATATTTCTTTATTTTTTTTTTTTAATAAAATTTAGTTGCATGCATTAACAGAAATTATATACAATTTATTTCCTAAGCTTTCCACCCGGGTACCCGGTTGCTAATCGGGCGAAGGCTAGAGTTTTAGCTTATTAAAAAAACATAAATAAATAAATAAATCAATTAAATGAACTCACAAAAGGTTTTCTTTTAAGTTAAAACCGTTGATTTGAGAGCTTAAAATGAAATATTAAATTTTTTTTAAGCTATTCACACAATAAGGGTTAAAATCTGTCAAAACGAGTAAAGGCTATCCACCGAAATATTAACAGTTCATCATAATTAAAAAAAATTTCATGAATTCGGTTTTTGATTGAATGCGTACCTATTTTTGTGATGTGATTTTAAGACTTTTTTATATTAAGCCGATCTGGCTAAAACAAGAATTACTTTTGTATTATTTTTTGTTGTAAATATATAGATAAGACTTTGAAAAATATAATTTTATTTTATTTTCGCATTGTTACTTTTGACTCTTATTTCCTTTGTAAAATGGTGACATCATCGCGCATACTTACGTTAGTGATACACTATACATGTATGTGTATTAGGGTGGGTTAATTCCGGACTTTTTTCGAATCGGGATTCCTAATGGTGCGGAAAAGTTGCCTTAGTACTTCCTGATTCCAATGCAACTTTTTGTTTTGAGATCGGATTGCATCTTCAACCCTTGAAATTTCGGAAATTCGCCCAAAATCGTGAAATTGTGTACCTAGCGCCTGAAATACGCATCTCATGGTAAAATTTATTAAACAAAAGTTATTTGTCACGTCATTTGCTACCGAAATGGTATGTCATCATAGCCGTAGGACGAACCGTTCCCAAAAATGAGGCGCGCCACAGCGCAAGGTGAAAATTGCTGCAGCTCTCAGCTAACATGTATTGGTTACCTTCGGGCTCCTCCCAAGCTCAACCCAAACAACCAACCATATGTCAGGCTTTTTTTAGTCTGAATCTGTGTCAAATTTATTGATAAAATCAGATTTTGTACTAAACTTTGGCACTTGTTGCCTAGATTTCAGTGTGGAGCGTATAACACGATCACAAGATTGGGGGCCAATAACTTTAGAAGATGCCTCTGTCACCAGTTTGACGGTTCTCTCGACTGCCATGGTGTGAGAGGGGAATTCACTAAATTTCCATACCTCTGCAGCGTTACCCGACAGCCCTTTTATGAGTTCTTCGTTAGAAACTGAACAAAGAACTGGTGGAACAGTCAAGGTAATAGTCTTAAAGTTAATCATATCGTAATACTTATTAGCTTTGAAGTTCAGCTTTGGCACTTTATTACATCTAACCCTTCCATTTACAGTGTCAGAMTCTGYTTCTCTGGCTGCCAGAAGACGGTCAAGGGCCAACTTTCTGACTTCTATCCGTTCATCAGTGATCATACTAAGGAGAATGTTTTCTGGAAGAGCAAAGAAAGCATTCTGTTGAGTTTAGCAGGTAAATATCTCGACCTTTGAACTGCAGCATAGACATGGCGCGAGCCATCTTTGATTGAATTGTTGAATCTTATTGAGAACCACAAAGGTGAGTAAACTGTAAGTATGTACTTGTCCAAAATCTTTATTTTCTTTGTTGGTTTGTCAGTAGAAATGTATAATCTCAGAATTCTATTTGCACAGGTGAGCCAGCGAGATTTCCACATGTTACCTGGATGCATCAACGCTAAATCTGAGGAACATTGACCGTAAATAACAACTTCTGATATTTTATAGAGATAAGCTTGGTCTGTGCTAAGTTGCGTCGGATTAATAACCTCAGAAGGTAATTGGCAGGATGGAAAACTTTCAGATTTGACAACAGGCAACTTCTCACAATCAGGGAGCAGTTTACCTATGTATGACAATGTATTTGGACTCTTTGAAACACCATCTATGTGTTCGAAAAGAACACGAAATGGAAGTTCGTTGAAATGTAGAAGACAAACAACCCACTGTAATGGCCTACCTATTTTTTCTTCTAGTTTCCGAATGATTCCACCTTCCCAACCTGTGTTCGTGTTGTTGCCATCAGCACCGTCAACTTCTAGATGTTCCACATCAACAGAATTGTCTTGTAAATGTTGCCATATAGCTTGCGTCTCATCCTCAGCTGACCCGGAAGGAGAGATGACGTGGCCAAAGTAATGACAATGAAGTGAATTGTCTTT